CAAGAATTTTTTGAAGTGATCAAGGGCCATAACTCTGGCAGTAATTATCGGAAATCGCTGAAAATCAATAGGATTCCTCATCTCATGACCTTAAACACTGTGTATAAATTTAAAGTCAATCGGATATTAACTTTGACCTCTAAAGAGTCCACAAGATTTTTTGAAGTGATCAACAGCCATAATTAACTCTGCCAGTGATTATCGGAAATCGTTGAAAATCGATAGGATTCTTCATCTTATGACCTTAAACACTGTGTATAAATTTAAAGTCAATCTGATATTAACTTTGGACCTCTAGAGCGTCCACAAGAATTTTTTGAAGTGATCAAGGGCCATAACTCTGGCAGTAATTATCGGAAATCGCTGAAAATCAATAGGATTCCTCATCTCATGACCTTAAACACTGTGTATAAATTTAAAGTCAATCGGATAATAACTTTGACCTCTAAAGAGTCCACAAGATTTTTTGAAGTGATCAACAGCCATAATTAACTCTGGCAGTGATTATCGGAAATCGTTGAAAATCGATAGGCTTCTTCGTCTCATGACCTTAAACACTGTGTATAAATTTAAAGTCAATCGGATATTAACTTTGACCTCTAGAGTGTCCACAAGATTTTTTGAAGTGATCAAGGGCAAATACGCTGGCAGTAATTATCGGAAATCACTGAAAATCAATAGGCTTCTTCATCTCATGACCTTAAACACTGTGTATAAATTCAAAGTCAATCGGATATTAACTTTAGCTTGTGGACACCGAACCGACGGACAGGGGCGACGACAATATACGACCACATTTCAATGTGGGCATATAAAAATGGTTCAAATGAACCAAGTTAACCAGGTATTCAAATAACTATGGCCTTAGATAGTTATAAAATTTCATTACTATGTAATGTGGGCGTGAGTAATGCCTTTTAGGCAAGTATAGTGTGTGCGAGAGTAATGACTCGCACCTCCTGACAAGGTCTGTTTTATGTTGAAAATTGATACCGAACGGTTAAACAGTTACTAACTGGTTAATAGCTATGGTTATTTGAACAAGAAAATGTCCTAACCGTAGGAGCACTAAGATGTATATATACTAAGCAGCAAAAGAAACATGAGGTTGGTATGTTACTCTGAATAGACACATTGCATAAAACTTGCCAAATGTTTTTATAGTATACTAGCAGGATACCCGGCTTCGCTCGGGGGTCATAAGTCCAAAACCGGAAGTGGTAGACTAACGCCACCTGGCCTATGCTACTCCCCAGTCCGAGCTACCCCTATATTCCAAATTTCAGACTCGGGACAGACCTAGTGTAGCCGCAACCCCGAACAGAACGGCTTCGCTCGGGGGTCATAACTCCGAAACCGGAAGTGGTAGACTAACGCCACCTGGCCTATGTTACTCCCCAGTCCGAGCTACCCCTATACCCCAAGTTTCAGACTCGGGGTAGACCTTGTGTAGCCGCCAACCCCGAACGGACAGACTTCGCTCGGGGGTCATAACTCCGAAACCCGAAGTGGTAGACTAACGCCACCTGGCCTATGTTACTCCTCGGTCCGAGCTACCCTTATACCCCAAGTTTCAGACTCGGGGCAGACCTAGTGTAGCCGCCAACCCCGAACAGACCAGCTTCGCTCGGGGGTCATAACTCCAAAACCGAATGTGGTAGACTAACGCCACCTGGCCTATGTTACTCCCTGGTCTGAGCTACCCCTATACCCCAAATTTCATACTCGGGGCAGATGTAGCCGCCAACCCCGAACAGACAGATTTCGCTCGGGGGTCATAACTCCGAAACCGGAAGTGGTAGACTAACGCCACCTGGCCTATGTTACTCCCCGGTCCTAGTTACCCCTATACCCCAAATTTCAGACTCGGGGAAGACCTAGTGTAGCCGCCAACCCCAAACAGACCGGCGTCGCTCGGGGGTCATAACTCCGAAACCGGAAGTGGTAGACTAACGCCACCTGGCCTATGTTACTCCCCGATCCGAGTTACCCATATACCCCAAATTTCAGACTCAGGGCAGACCTAGTGTAGCCGCCAACCCCGAACAGACAGACAGACAAACGACAGTCTCAAATATATATATAGATTTGTGACCACATCTCCCAACTTTACCTGAGCAATAAGGCTCCTTCCAAAACACAGAATTGAACCCAGGAAATGTTCTCAACAAGAGCATCGCTAACGCAGCAATATACGTCCACATTCCTGTTTTGTTTGATATGGTCCAGTTTGCATTGAGGGTCTGTGAAATAAAACTGGGTTGTAGGACTGCTATCAGTTTAACACTTCGTTCACATTAACAGAACACAATTTTATTTTAAAACAATCGATGTCTTTATTCTAAAAGCATGGCGTTTCGAATAGGTATGCAAAGTTTCAAAAGGATCTGTTAAGAATTGCGGTCTGTAGGCAAAACACAAGACACACAAACATTAGGCGTGGCTCTGTCCCAAGGGGTCGAGCATGCACCAAAAATAATAATAGAGGTCGGCCTTAGGATTAAGGAATAAGTATAAATAGTAGCCTTAGGCTATAAGGAATAAGTATAAAAAAGTTTTCAAGATGATCGATTAAGAAATGCGGTCTGCAAGTGACACACAGACATAAAAAAAGAAAATGGGCGTAGCTCTGCCCCTGGGGGTTGGGTATTCACCACAAATAATAGGGATGTTCCTTAGGACAGAAGGAATATGTATGCTAGGTTTCAAGGTGATACGATAAAAAAATGCGATCTGTAGATGACAAACAAATAAATAAATATAATGGATGGGCGTGGCTATGCCCCTGGCGGTCGGGCATGCACCAAAAACAATAGGGATCATCGTTAGGGTATAAGCAATTCATATGAAATTTTTTCAAGACGATTAAGAATTGTGGCCTGTAGGTGACACACAGACAGAAAAAGAAAAGAAAATGGGCGTGGCTCTGCCCCTGGGGGTAAAAAAAACAATAGGGATCATCGTTAGGGTATAAGCAATTCATATGAAAAAATTTCAAGACGATTGATTAAGAATTGTGGCCTGTAGGCGACACACAGACATAAAAAAGAAAATAGCCGTGGCTTTGCCCCTGGGGGTTGGGCATGCACCCAAAACGATAGGGATGTTCCTTAGGGTACAAAGAATAAGTATGCAAAGTTTCAAGATGATACGTTAAGAAATGTGGCCTGTAGACGACAAACAAACAAATACAAAAAATGGGCGTGGCTCTGCCCCGGGGAGGCGAGCATGCACCAAAAACAATAGGGATCTTCCTTGGGGTATAAGGAATAAGTATACCAAGTTTGAAGAAAATCCAGTAAGAATTGCGCCCTGTAGGCGACACAAAGACACACGAAAAGAAAATGGGAAATGGGCGTGGCTCTGCCCCTGGGGGTTGGGCATGTACCCCAAACGATAGGGATGTTCCTTAGGGTACAAAGAATGTGTATGCAAGATTATAAGTTAAGAAATGTGGCCTGTAGACGACAAACAAACAAATACTAGAAATGGGCGTGGCTCTGCCCCTGGGGGTCGGGCATGCACCAAAAACAATAGGGATCTTCCTTGGGGTATAAGGAATAAGTATACCAAGTTTGAAGAAAATCCAGTAAGAATTGCGCCCTGTAGGCGACACAAAGACACACGAAAAGAAAATGGGCGTGGCTCTGCCCCTGGGGGTTGGGCATGCACCCCAAACGATAGGGATGTTCCTTAGGGTACAAAGAATGTGTATGCAAAGTTTCAAGATTATTAGTTAAGAAATGTGGCCTGTAGACGACAAACAAACAAATACTAGAAATGGGCGTGGCTCTGCCCCGGGGGGTCGGGCATGCACCAAAAACAATAGGGATCTTCCTTGGGGTATAAGGAATAAGTATACCAAGTTTGAAGAAAATCCATGAAGAATTGCGCCCTGTAGGCGAACCACAGACACACACACACACACACATACATACATACACACACACACACACACACACACACACACAGACAGGGGCGACGGCATAATACGTTCACATTATGAATGTGGACGTATAAAAACTCAACCTGACTTCTGAGATGGTAATGTGTTCTCCATGATTTTCATGTAACTCATGCTGCACATGCTGTTCACCCATCGCCATCAACGTTAACAGTTTGCCCAACAACACCAGAACTGGCGACACATGCAACAGAGAACTGTTCTCTTCACAGATGAGAGTCGGTATTATGTATCAACTGCAGATGGCAGGACCAGTATTTGGCGTCAATGTGGCCAGCGTTATTCTGACCAATGTGTCATGGAACAAAACTCATGGGGAGGTCCAAGTATAATGGTTTGGGGTGTAATTGGCCTGAACCAGAGAGTGGGTCCTGTGGTGTTCCAAAATCTTGGTCCAGGGATAGGAGGCGGCATCACAGCAGTGTGCTACATCGATCAAGCTCTCAAACCCCACATTTCGCACGTCATCGAAACAACGTTTTCCAGCATGACAACTCCTGTGCCCACACCGCCAGAGTTACTTGGCACTTTCTACAGCAGAACAGTGTCAACATTATGCATTGGCCAGCCCTTAGTCAGGACTTAAACCCGATTGAATATCTTTGGGATGAAATTCAGAGGAGACTTAATAAAGTTGTACCGAGACCAAACACAGCTGATGGATTGCGGCAGGCTTTACTTAGAGTGCGGTTCCAGGTGCCAGTGGCATTCATCAATTGTCTGGTCCACTCCATGTACAGACGCTACGCTGCTGTTATTGACACTCACGGTGGACACACCAGATACTGATGTATAGACTGTGTACAGACTCTAACCCTTCTCGTAATGTCTTGGAATTGTGATGAATTAATCACCTATTTGTCAACATACTGTCACAAAAAATTGCTTTGATCCATTTAGTAAGTCGTTTTCTAGAATGATTTGATTAAAGTGCCTCTCTGATTTTGAAATCGTACTAAGGTTTTTTTTGCTGTTTAGTATATATTTGTTTACACTAAGTACATGTAAAGCTTAGAATATACACAAATATACTTACTTTATCTTCCATTTGACTGGTTGTATTACTACTAGCTTCACCACTCATATTATCACTGAAATATATATACATTTCACTTTCATCTCTAACACAATTCATCTGAAGCTAAAGCAAGCGGTTGCCTTGCAAGATACAACCACATTTTGCAAGAGATGGACAGAGAGGAAGCTAAAAAATATGATTTTTCATACAATCGGGGGCAATAATCCAGATCCCAGATCTTTGGATATAACCATATATTTTAAGTTTCATCAAAATCGGATAAAAATTGTGACATCTAGAGGCTCCACAACCTTGGTATTTAATTAGATAAAAGTTGTGACCTCTAGAGAGGGTCCATAACATAAAAACGTGACCTTTCGTACAATCAGAGGCCACAATCCAGGAAGTTACAGTCTGCTATGCACAAATATTGAAAGAAACCGAGATGTTTGGGTAAGTAACATACATTTTCAGTTTCATCAAAATTGGATAAAAATTGTGACTTCTAGACACTAAGAAGTACAAAAGGTGAGATTTGTACCTTTGAGATATAGACATAGATATAGGGGAATCTCTACGAATATCGGTAAAATTCTTATATCACAACAAATCTAATACGAAGAGACTACAATCTGTAGATACAGTGTGTTAATGGGCATCCTCGTTGAAGGAATTCCCACCAGGCGTCGCTAGTAAAAACTTGGTTCCACGTGAGCTTATCAATGGTAAGAGAACCGTGTAAGGTAAACAATGAGGTCACATGGGACCACCTCCTCCATGGTGTCTCCTATAAATTATTCCCCATTATGTCTAGCGAGGACGACCATTAACAGGGGTGAGAAATTGACTGAAAGGTGAATTAACTATCGCTAGGGGAGAAAAACTCTGCGACAGTGTGTTTTCTGTACTGGGTGTGTTAGTTAATGGACAGCTTAAAAACATATCACACAGGGTGCATTCTGTGTTTGGTCAGTTTTCTCAAAAGCGTGCTATATCTGCACCAAAAGTGTTTTATCAAGGACCAGCAGGCTTTATCTGATGCATAGGTGTTCAATCTAATTTACTGTGAGATTTCTTTTTCGACCATGTGTTTTACGCAGAAAGGTTTTTGTTAAGTGTAGGTCTTTATACATGGATTTATACATGCTGTAGTTACATATGTGCCTTCTTTAATCAGGCATGATTCTGTCTCTTCTCAAAGATAGATTGCTAGGCAACGAAACATACGCCCACAGCAGCTAAATCGTCCGTGCAGTCAACAAGAGTTGTCGCATATTTTTTCTATTGTCAGTAATGAAACATTTATAATACACTATATTAAGTGTTACAACTCATTAAGTAATTATCCGAAAATCATTAGAAATTGTTTGGCTTTTATTTCTGCCCCATGCTAACCTTTAGTATACAAAAATTTAATACTATGGATTTAGCTGTTCAAGTTTTCAAAATTCATTGAAAATCAATATACTTGTTCGTCTCAAGACCTTAAACTCTGTTTATCAATCTAAAGTCAAACGGATCTCTAGAGCATCCACAAAATTTTTCAAAGTGATTAAGGGCGATAACTCTTAATCTCACGACCTTAAACAATGTGTATAAATTGAAAGTCAATCAGATATTTCAAAGTGATCAAGGGCAATAACTCTAGCAGTAATAATTGACTCAGTTTTTTTAATTTTGATTTCGTTTTCGGGCTATTTCGATTAAAAGGTGAAAAAAAGGTGTAAAATTAAGCTATTTACAACCCATCCAGCGTCTTCATATTTTAAAGTATTTCTTTGTAACTTTCATAAACTTGTAGCAATAATCCATACGAAGAGCATATATGTGAAAATGAATTTGTAATATGAACAATTGCCGAGAATTAGGTAATTTTGCATGAGTCACTTTACACGTTATTTAGCCTGTAAAAGAGACAAATATCATTCAATTTTTTAATTTTTTTTACCATTTGATGCCTTATGCCAATTTTGACTAGGTAAAACCATTTTAACTCTTAAATGACCCAGAGGTTTGACGTCATAACGTCATAAAAACGTCATAATGGTCAATAGTATTAAAATATAGATATGCATTTTAAAGTCATATCATTAATAAACAACTGTAGATAGACCCTTCATGTAAATGGATGAAATAATCTAAATTTAATGCCATTTTCATAAATATAAATTTATAAAAAAAATTAATTTAGACATTTCATGCAAAATTCATGTATATAATGGTTATTTTGATTTTTTTTGTTCGGCTGTTGTGAACCAAAAATAATTCATCATGAATCTCTTTTAATTTAAGCTTATTTAAGTACCGTAATAGAAATTTGTTGATTAACTAAGCCTACTTCTATCACGTTCTAGGCCTAACGTAAAACTGTAAAAATCAACACTACAGATAAAATCTGAATCACTGTCAATCAATAAGGATGGTAATCCATCATCAGGATAACGTTGCCGAATAGGTCTAGACATATCACCGTTTTATTATAATTTTTCAAGGAGAAACAGTAAGATTTTTAACTGTCAAAATGTCAAACAGGAAGTAAACAAATGAGGTAAAGTCATCTGTTCATAAGGGAAATAACTCTCATTACGCTAGGAACATTGCATTCGGCTAACAGGTTTTGTCGACAAAAGTCGCCGTGGGTATTTAACGGTAACGTTATGGATGTCGACAAAAGTCGCCGTGGGTCATAATCTAGGCAAGATACCAAGAGTGCGGGCAGTTGCTGCAATAGAAATGACGATCACTGTTTATGGTCGGTTTAGACGTATATTATGACCAAAAAAAAGTCCCAGTCCGAAATCCGGGCTCAAATGGGTCAAATTGGCCAAAATCCAAAATGGTCACCGCTTTTGGCTTGTAAATTACAATTTCCACCCAATTATCACAATATGATCGAGTTTGGTATTAAAATATACGTTTTCGGGGTAACTGAATCCATTTCCATACACAATTTTGTGATAAGTGTTACCACTGAGTCAATATTAGGGGTTATTCAAGATAGTGGTCAGTTTTGGCGGGAAAATTCGAATTTTACATAAGGATCAAGTTTGGTGTCAAAATATATGTTTTCGAGGTAGCTGAATCTATTTTTGTACATATTTTAGTGATTAAGTGATTGCCTGTGCCAATATAGGAGAAATTCAAATTTGGGATTTAGATTTCCGATTAGGGATTGGAGATTAATGATACTCCTACCTTAGACCTAATACAATGACTTTCATCCAGTATCAACTAAATTTCATTTGGAGTGTCTCCCAGTTCACTGCGGTAGCGGCATAGGGGTATGTCGACTGGGGACACTCGCGGGTCACTGCGGAAGCTGGTCGTGCCTTTTGAAGCATGTGGCACAAAATGATTCAGATGTTGAGACACAGATGGATACAGTATCGCCTGTTTGTCAGATATGCAGTGAACCATTTAACAATTAACAACCCATAGTTATTGGTCAATGTTTTAAGGTTAATGAAGTGGAGGAGTCTGTATCAAGGTCTAGAGGGTCCGCGGTGCCAAAATTTATTTTAGCGGACCGTTGTCTTTTACATGGTCTGTAGAAAAGACTAGCAGACGGTCCATTACAACATATATAATCGGTGACCGCTGTTACAACAGTAAACAGTAGAACTCGCAATGCCTATTTTTTGGAAAAGCCAAGACAGTTCAAATGACGAATTGACATTAATCTAGTTGTGTTTAATAAATCAGCATTGAGGCTGGTGTCCCTAAATAGATGACACTTATTAATTACTTGCACATCTAACTTATTTATAAAACATCTAGCACAGAAATTGTTCTTCACTCTGTGTAACCTAAGCAAAAAATCTAATTGCAGAGGCATGCTGGCTAGGTAGTCAACGCCTACTCTGCCCTCATAAATGCAAAAACAAAAGAAACTCGAAATGGTTGATAACGCTCGAATCCGATGAGATTTCCTAACAAGGTATATGGGAGGGGGCTGGGGTGGCTATGTGCCCTCTCTTCCGAAAATGTGCCATCGAATATTGTGCCCCCTTTTTCTGCTGCCCTTCCCTTGTTCCAACTAACTCCAGAGATACTACAATGCCCGTTTTTCATTGATGAGGGCCCTATACACGCTCAATCAGACCATGATTTCCACGGTGAGATACTACAATGCCCGTTTTTCATTGATGATGTAAGGGCCCCATACACGCTCAATCAGACCATGATTTCCACGGATGACTTCCAGAATAGATTTTACCGACGGATTAATATTTCCATAATATTCAGAATCAACTAATTGTTATTACTAAGATTAATATTATTATTATTAAGCTTTCATATTACATATGAAAGCTTATTGTTTCTGTTAAGATTATTATTGTTATTTTTTTTGTGTGTTTTGTCCACAAATCGGATTTCTCAGAATCTAACCATAGGATCGTTCTGAAACTTTTACCTATCCCCCCAAAAATGGGTGGTGGCTGTTGATTAAATATATTTTCAAAACGTTTTACGAATCCGAAATCACCGAATTTTACGAAGGAATGCATTTGACCTACAATGCTGTAACTTTGTGACTATTTGACCTATTTTACTAATTCTTTTTTCTTTGAGTATCTTGAAACATTTACTTCAAATCTGCAATTTCGGATTTTGGCATTTCGAAAATTCGTCGCTGTCATTTCGAACCGGAAGTTATTACCAATTTGACAACTTCTTTAATAGTTGTGCGATTTTCGTGAAATTTAGAATGTTAGTAGATCTTGCCAATGCGAATTCAATGATGTCCTTGGAAATTTTCTAAATTATCTCCCCTTGGTGAAATTAAGGATCACAGTTTTCAAAAAAATCGTCGAAATATAGGTCAGAATGACCTAAAAAAAAAATTTGATACTAGACAAGTAATTACTGATTCGTACACAAAATATGGAGTTTGTCGATCGAACCGGAAGTGCCACCATCTTTAAACGTGAAAAATCAAAAAGGCTTTTTTGCTATTTTACTTACAGACTCGGGCGTCATATTTTCGGAATCCTGGAAGGAATGCCTAAAAATCTATCGGATCAGAATTTTGATTTCGGTCACGTGATGGTCACCATTTTGAATTGAAAATGAAAAATAGAAGCAATTTGAAGGGCCGGGACTTTGGAACACAAGAACTCTCCTTCTAATTAAGCTAGAATGTTCAAACTTGGTGTAGGCGTTCACTAGGTCAATGTCATGACTGAGTTCAAAGATGAGCATTTTTTGCCTAGGGTAAGCAGAGATAAGCAAGCTGATTTGTTGATTCTTTAGGGCACGATGACATTGGTTATAATGAATGGAGGGCGATGAAACTCTTGTCAATCGAGAGGCTAATAGCTGGCCTGTTGTGTGAAATCATTGTATCATTTTTTGAAAATGTCCGGGGTAGCCGAAAAAAGGAGATCGAAATCCAAAAAGTCGTATTTTTACGATTTGGGGCATTTTTAGAGGTCGTGTAAAGTAAAATAAAGCATGCATATACATATATTATTGATATTAAATATATCATATAAAAAACTAAACAATGAATCAGCTGTCATTGACAGATTTTATATTATAAGCATGGTCAGTGGAAGGTCAGCGTATTGTCTAATTTGAACTCACTGACTCCGTAACATTATTGTGGGTATGGTATAAGCTGAATTTGATGAGATGCACATATCTCGTATGACTATTTGGTACTTACAGTGTTAGACTTTGTCGTAACGTTACGGTCTCCATTCATCAAATCGTCGTTGGGGCTATAATACGATTTTGAATCAAGTTATTTATCACTGAGGGACTCAAAATTAGGTTTGATGTAGCTCTGCTCATTTACAGTGGCGAATTTAACGGGCTCATGGGTTCCAGCTCCCTCCTCTAGAAATTTCACAGCACTCGCATGGATTGTGGCTAATTTTGTGGCAGAATTTTATTTTTCTGGGGGAGGTACTTCTAAATGGCTCCGACACAAGTGCCTGAAATGCCATGAAATCACGTTTTCGGCCTCCAATTAAAATTTCTTAGCGGGAGAACCCCCTGACCCGACCCCCTTGCGGGGCTTCACGGTCGGTATCAGCCCCCCTCCCCACCACCATGGTTAATCCGGCGTTGATGTTCCCTCTTGTGCAGCTGCAAAAGAATGTACAAGTTCATTGCCTCATTGTCAAAGATCCCACTTTTCTACCCCAGTTCGGGTAATGAGGTCGAGCGTATATTGTATAGGGGATATTAAACAAGCAAACAGTATGGCTGATGTCTCCCGCCAAAACCCCAAAGTAAAAGATGACACATTAATTAATCGCACTTTCATATTTTTTTCAAAAGTATCGAGCAATCAAACTATACTGTAAATTTCATTACTCTCTGTCAGATAGAAATCAAGGTTATCTTGTCCCAAAGCATCGACCAATGAAATTGCCAAGCTGTAGCTCAAAATGTTCAGTCAAGACCTGATGAACATCTACACCAAGTTTAAACATTCTAGCTCAATTAAAAGCTGGGTTGTTATGTTCCAGTACTTCATTATAACCAAAGTTATCATACCCCAAAGCATCAACCAATTCAAAGTCCCGGCCAATCAAGTTGCTTTGCTTATCCTGACTAAGAGAATGCTCATTGTCGAACTTGGTCAAGGTAATATGGTCAAGGTACTAATGTAATGAAACTATACACAAAGTTTCATCAAATTGCTTATGGCTAAAGTTAATATCCGATTACTTTAAATTTATACACAGTGTTTCAGGTCATGAGACGAAGAAGCCTATTGATTTTTAGCGATATCCGATAATTACTGTCAGACTTATGGTCCTTGACCACTTCAAAAAATCTTATGCGCGCTCTAGAGGTTAAATTCAATATCCGATTGACTTTAAATTTATACACAGTGTTTAAGGTCATGAGATGAAGAAGCCAATTGATTTTCAGCGATTTCCGATAATTACTGTCAGAGTTATGGCCCTTCATCACTTAAAAAAAATCTTGTGGATGCTCTAGAGGCCAAAGTTAATGTCCGATTGACTTTAAATTTATACACAGTGGTTAAGGTCATGAGACGAAGTAGGCGATTGATTTTCAGCGATATCTGATATTTACTGCCACAGTCGTGGCCCCTGATCACTTCAAAATATCTTGTGGACGCTCTAGAGGCCAAAGTTAATATCCGATTGACTTTAAATTTATGCGCAGTGTTTAAGGTCATGACAAGAAGATGCCTACATTATTGATTTTCAGCGATATCTGATATTTACTGCCATTTCCGATAATTACCGTCAGAGTTATTGCCCTTTATCACTTTAAAAAATCTTGTGGACGCTCTAGAGGCTAAATTCAATATCCGATTGACTTTAAATTTATACAGTGTTTAAGGTCATGAGATCAAGAAGCCAATTGATTTTCAGCGATTTCCGATTAATTCCTGTCCTGCGTACTCTGTATATAATATACGGTTTTCTAAATATGCCTTGGATGGTAGCCATTTTGTTCATAAGGTAAATGTAATTTTTCAGATACCTGATGACATTTATACTTATTGTTTCAATAGATTCTAATAACCCCCTTTGCAGTTCATATGAAAGCTTTCATATCTGCTATGCAGATCTAGTTATTATTATTTTTTTTATTGGGGGAAGCTAGATCTCAGCAACTATAAGAGATAGAGGTTTGAAATTTGATTTTCTGTCGGAAAAGTGGTGTGCAGCTACTGCTTAAAGCTATTTCGAAATTTGTGCGCATAGCGGAAATGCGTCAAATCTTTAACGTGCACGAAAATTTGAAAAATTGACGAGACTTACCTTGGTACAGTTGAAGTCAATTTTAAATTATGTGAGTCATAGGACTCACTGTAGGGATTAAATGAGAGTGTAGCACGTGCCGCAGATTGTCAGTCTTTAAAGTAACAAAAATATATAAGATTGAACAAATTTTTTTTTTTTTTTTTTTTTTTTTTTTTTAGATTCGGATTCCATTTTATCATGAAATAAACTTGTATGTGCACAGCTTACACAAGCTGGCAAAATTGTAGGGATGGGCGGGAGGCATTTAATCCCTACAGTGAGTCCTATGACTCACATAATTTAAAATTGACTTCAACTGTACCAAGGTAAGTCTCGTCAATTTTTCAAATTATATTTCGTCATATCACTTCCGGTCATAAATGAGACTTCAAAGCTGGTGAAATCTTTATATTTGGCATATTACATACATATAGTAACAAAGAAACAATAAGATTGGCAATTTTAGTTTATTCTTTGAGTACTGTATCCACAAATCTAGAATTTGCAGTAGATATTATATCCTTCTTATAAAATTTGAAAAAAGTTCCTGCATTGCTCCAGCCACCAGCATGCAGAATATCCTGAATAGGAACAGAGTTTTTATGAGCCTTAGAACATACGGCTGACCTCACTGTATGTGAACCATAAACATTGGTGTCTATATCAGAACGTTCCATCACAGTTTTAATCCATCTAGACACTGTGTCCCGGGACACTTTTTTATGGGGTTTAATAAAGCTCAAAAATAATGAAAACTCGTTTTTACGAATATCTACTGTTCTTTGTAAATATTCTTTCATGGCAGTATATACACACAACCTCCTATCTGGAGGGTAAGCTTTCATTGACACACATTTAACACTAGCACATGGTCTGCTCTGTTTTTGTAAACCACTGAGTTCAAAAGAAAATTCACATTTAGTTTTAACCATATTCTTTATAGATAAAAGATGAATAGCATGTACTCGTAACACATTTGTCAGTGCAATTAGCATTGTAAGTTTCAGAGTTAAGTCTTTCAAACTCAAGTCCTTCACTGGCGAAAGCTTCTTCAAGTAAAGCAAAACTTTACCTACATCCCATGTCACCATATGTCGCGGTTTCGAGGGTCTCAAATTAAACACACCCCTCATAAATTTTGATATAACTGGATGAGTTCCAACAGAATGTCCTTGAATAATGATTCCCATCGCTGATAATGCGGACCTTGCTGTGTTTAGGGAGCTATAACTTAACCCAGTTTCAAAAAGTTCTGTGAGAAAACTTGTAACATCTGCTATAGATGATTGAATGATACTAATCTTCTTTTTACCACAGTATTGTATCCATCTCTTAATGAACACGGAATATTGTTTTTTAGTCCCAGTTTTCCAGGAAGCCAGGAGAATTCTTGTAGACTGTTCAGAAAGACCTTGTTCTTTATATGATTTCCGGAGACATGGCAAGCGATCAATACCAACTTTCGTCGAAGAGGATGGCTCTGATTCTGTTTGTGTGTCAATGTCAGCAAGTCTTTCATTTTCGGAATCAGTAGAGGTGGATGAATAAGTAGTTCCATTAGATGGACAAACCAAACTTGGGTTGGCCATAGAGGGGCAATAACTATGCCTGTAGCTTTGTCCTCTCGTATCTTCTTGATACAGCGTCCCAATAGGCTGAAAGGAGGAAAAATATATACACACTCAAATTGATTCCAATCAACTGTAAATGAATCCACGAATAAAGATTCTGGGTCTGGACTCCAAGATGCAAAACAAGACACTTGTTTATTGAGCCTTGAAGCAAAGAGATCAATTGTTGGAGTGCCAAATTTTTGACATATAGATTGAAATATTGATGGCTTCAATTTCCATTCAGTGCGGTCATTGAAAACCCTTGAGCAGAGATCAGCATCAGTGTTTGATTTTCCTGCAATATGAGAGGCAGAAATCCACAAATTATGGTCTATACACCAAAACCATATTTTCCTAGCTGCCAAGTTACAAGATGCAGACTTCATGCCACCCATATTGTTGATATAGCTGACTGCTGTTGTGTTATCACACAAGATCTTCACATGCATAAACGGCTGCAAATGAGTTTTAAACGATTTTAGGGCAAATAAAACAGCCAGCATTTCTAGATAATTGATATGATTCTGTTTCTCTGAACATGTCCATTGTCCCCCTGTTTTAGCAACAGATTCCAAAACAGCTCCCCATCCTTGGAGGGAAGAGTCTGTTGTTATTGTGATATTTGGATTTCCATGCGAGATATGGCGTATCTGACTATGTATATTTGTATACCACCAAGCAAGTTCAGACTGCATATCATGTGTGATAAGAACAAAATTATCAAAGTTACCTTGCTTTTCCCTTAGAGCCTGTACCTTACTCGACTCCAAAATTCGATAAAATAATGGCCCGTATTCTACGGCCGAAAAACTTGATATGATAAGACCAATAACATGAGCCAAATCACGAATAGTAACTTTAACTTTCTTTGAAATTCTTAAACACTCATCTGCAATGTAAGCTTTCTTGTTCTCTGGAAGAAAAACAGTCATACTACTAGAATCAATCACATTACCTAGAAACGTAACTTGTTTTGATGGTTGAAAAACACTCTTGTTTGGATGAACCATAAAACCTAACTTTTCTACCAAATTAACAGTGGTCTGTACACTGTGGTTACATTCATTTTCAGATTCTGCTAACAAAAGACTATCGTCAATATATCCTGAGCACAGAATGCCTGCGTTTCTAAGCGACGAATAAACTGGTTTCATAAGCTTAGTAAATAGTAGGGGCGCCAGAGAATAACCATTTGGCAAGCATGTATACTGAAATATTTTCCCCCCCCATAGGAAACGAAAATATCTCTGATCTTCCTCAGCTATACTGACAGAATAGTATGCGTGTCGGATGTCAATCGTGCTCATAAAACAATCTTTTGAGACCAAGTTAAGGGTAGATTCGAATGTATCCATTTTAAAATGGCGATAAGGTACAAACTCATTGAGTTTCTTTAAGTTCAAAATCATGCGAAACTCTCCATCTTTCTTAGGCCTTACAAAAATTGGCGAAAGAAATTGATTTGACTGAGGGGTTACCTCAATAAGAACCTTAGTTTTGACCATATTAGAAATTTCTGATTCAATAGCTTCACTCTCTCGAGTGTTAAATTTAGGTTCAAATTTAAAGTTATGTTGATTTGGAGAGATCCCATCTATAAATTCAATGTGACAGTGTTTTACTATATCTAGAACATGAGGGTCAGAAGTTATTTCCTTCCATGCCGAGGAAAAATATTTCAAGCGCCCTGCCGAGAAACTCACCTTATTAGTTGAGTCTATTGACTTTTGCTTCTCAGATTCTGGGGCATACTGCCCCGCCTGTAGTTTTTTGTAGAGTACTTGACATTAGCTTGTGCTTGTGGATACATGGCACGACCTCTGCCTCTTCCATATCGCCCTCTAGATCTACCTCTCCAGGGTCTACCTCTTGAAAATGAACTTCTTTGGGGATAGTTCTGTAATTTCTGGCCAATGCGACTGCAGTCGGCTATTTCTTTGGCTAACTTAGGCACATCATCTCCAAATAAAAAAGTGGTGAAAGGCTGTGACTGTGCACACAAGTGCGAAAATTCTGGGCGTAGATCAGCCTTTATGAAGTCCCTTCTAGTAAGGTTGATTTGACGGTTTGAGTGACCCAAAAGGGCTAAACTGTCGTTCAGTTTATCTATAATATCTGGTATGGCTGTACTCGGCAAGTTAGAAGTATCGGCTAGATCTGCAAGAGAATCTACTGCTTTACTCAATATGATGGCAGACTTGATAACCGAACTTTCAATGGCCTGCATTTTCCGATCAGAACTCCTCGATTCTGGTGTCATAATGTCCCATACTAATTGGTTTGTTTTTACCAGTACCAAACCATCACAATTTTTCGGACGGGCTGTAACTTCATCCTTAGTTAGAGCATTGTACTGGTCCTCACTCATACCATTTTTGAAAAGTTCATTTACATTATTAGCCAGTACTACATCAACATTTTTGTCAACGACAGAGTCAGACGGTTTGAAACGTTTTGACATTAATGAAAACCTATTCTCGGTATCACCACCATAATCATCCTTTGAGGGTGACGGACCTAATTTCCGTTTATGGCCAGGATGGTTTTGGCTAGGATCAATATAAGATTCCTCGTCAGTTTCAAGTTCATATTGCTCATCATATTCTTCTTCATCATAATATGATTGATTTTCTAAGGTAACAAGTCTGGCGGCTTGTTCTCCTTGTTTTTCCTGAATGTCTTTCAGAATTTTTATTATTTCAGTATTGCCGGTCGAATGAGTCGATGAATCTCTTGAAGATTTTTTACTGCTTCTCTGACCAGCGTGCAGTTTAGAACCAGAAGTTGACGGTAAAGGTGAAGCTAAAGTCGAGGCGATTTTTGACTTCGTCAGCTGACTCGCCATTACCGGAGTTTTATCACATTTCTCCTTAGATTTTTGGGTAGAAAATTCCGTATAAACATCGGTACTATCCTCTAATAAGGCTGGGTTTAAATCTTCCCATCCCAAATCAACTTTACCAACCGACGAGCTTCTCAAGTTCTTTTTCTGTTTGTCGTCCGCCATCTTGCCACAAACGAGTCCGCGACTCGTGCAAGTTTACGATAGTCGTAAAAGAAAAAATATTTATTTCTTTCAAGAAAGAAAATCAATGCGGCAGACAAAAAACAAATAAATGACTTAGTATAAAGCCTTGAACAACTGAGAAAAGACTTAGTGCGGCAAATAGAAGACCACGTCTTCTTCGTTCAAGTGTAAACGCTACAATGACAATCTGCGGCACGTGCTACACTCTCATTTATGACCGGAAGTGATATGACGAAATATAATTGAAAATCGGCCATTATTCTCTTAATTCTCAATGGATTCTTCAGATATTTACATTTTTGGATAGCTGGAGACATTTCTGAGCAGAAAGCAGTTCTAAACTGTGGAAATTAGAAACTTTGTCGCTCTCATTTTTTTGGTGAAAAATTTCAAAATTTTCTAAAATTTGTATTTTTGGGAATTTTGAAATTTCAGTTTTATTTTTGGATAGCTGACATCAATCCGATTCCAACAATATAAGTTTTGTTCTGAAATTTTAACTTTGATTTTTCACTTTTTTTCACATTTTGGTCAAATCGTAGAGTTCTTATTTTTTTCAAACGGCTCAAACGATTTTTCTGAAACTTCAGGAATATGAAGTCGAAGTACCAAACCAGTCCATGAACTATAAATGAAAATCCTCTAATCACCGGAAGTAGTCAAGAAAGGTATCCAAACTTTGACAAAATTGTGAAAAGTGGGTGCCTGTGCGGAAAATGCGATGTATCAATTGTGTTCATGTCGATTAGTTAAAGATTTATATCGTTTAATAGCCAATTGAATTGTCTATCGGATGGTACTAAAGCGGTATGTTTCTATCAAAAATTTAAAAAGTAACGTTTTTTACGATTTCGAGCAACTTTGGACGCATGTTTCTCGGAAAGTCTCCCAACGATTTTTTAAAAACTTTCTCAATCGAGAGGCTAATGGGTACTCTGTTTTGTGAAACCACTGTATCATTTTTTGAAATGTCAGGGGTAGCCGAAAAAAGAGATCGAAAATCGAAAACGTCGTATTTTTACGATTTGGAGCATTTTTAGAGGCCTATTTCTCGAAAAGTAAAGATAATTAGTTTTTGGAACTTCTTCTACAGAGAGGCCTATCGGTAGTGTTATACATAAAACGATTGTACAGTAGTCCCAACTTTCAGGAGTAGCAGAACAAAGGGATCGAAAATTGAAAATTGTTAAGCGAAACATAAGTGGGGGATACAATCTGTACGTTTTGTCAACGTATAGAGTCTATTCTAGAGTGCTTTTATCAGTGATGATATTTGAACTGAAATTATTTCAACTATGGGTGTTTTCTTCTTTCCAAAATATGGATTTAGTGACCCTGTAACAGAAATAGTTGATTGCTGTGTGTAATAATTAGCCTTTGAATTAATATTGTTGCTTCTGTGTCAAAATTATCTTATACCGGTAATCATCTGGACAGAAATCGACGGCTCGCGCTGTTTATAAGAAAGTTCAATTTATTAATCGTTTGCAGTAGTATCGTACAGTGGTATCGAATATTGCACCTGTAATAAAAGGCATGACGTTGTTTGAGCATGGACTCTATCTCTAATTAAAATTAAATTTTAATTAGTGACGTCAAATCTTTAACGTGCACGAAACCAGAAAATTGGCGATATTTCATTGAATATTCAATCAATTTTTGAACCAGTTACATATTTGAGTAGCTGACATGAACGCGATTCCGAAGTCCCGTGTACACATTGGTGTGACCATAAAAGATCCCTTGGAGGTTGGAATTCTATATAAAAGAAGACTAGCGCCGCGGTACGAGCATGTTTAGAGGTCATTTCGGGACTAACATATGGTTCATTATTTTAATAATTTGCTTCCGCGTAGGGGTCATTAGCAGTGGGAGGAAACCGGAGGACCCGGAGAAAAACCACGAGGTTGGACAGGCGACCCTACTCCTTGACACGTACAACCGGGGAATCGAAACCCCGCCAGTTGACTCAATGACAGACTGTATGATACAGCGCAGTCCCAAAGGCTAGCCTACCGTGCAAATTCCAGCCAGCATAATGAATCTATATAAGAAACATTTATTCCTACTGGCGATTTACAAACAGTCCCCAAGGCTAGCCTACCGTGTAATTTCCAGCCAGCATAATGTATCTATATAAGAGACATTTATTCCTACTGGCGATTTACAAATATTGCATGAAGAAATTCAAATCAGAAGAACAGAAAAACGACTAATGCACAGTATCATATTGATTATAAAAGTACAATGTATATATTGGTTACACTATATATGTCAAAAAACAACAATCATTAGATAATAATAATTATTTACTAATTATATCAATCATTTTAAGAGGTAGGAGTTATCCATTGTTTAATTTAACAGTTATATAATTACTTTTCTCGGAAAAGCCGCCAATGATTTTTTTCAAACTTGCTCAATCGAGATTCTACTGGTTATATATTGTGTGAAACCCTTGTACAATTTTTCTAATTTTCATGGGTAGCCGAAAAAAGAGATCGAAAATTGAAAACAGCGTATTTTTACGAGTTGGAGCATGTTTAGGGGTCGATATCTGAGTTATGCTAGAGTGTGGGTTTTTTTGGGGGTTGGGGGGAGTGGTGGGGATAGTCTTTTGTCATACATCTGGCGATCGTGTGACGCTTTTGCGACAGGGAAAGCCTTCAGCATTGCGCGCAATTCTAGTTTGTCTTAGTTTTATTTATATATCTAAATAAAATTAGGAAAATTGCAACACGGGTGACGGGAACCATTATTGCCGGTTAGCATACTCAGGGCCAATACGCAATCCGTCACAATGAATGACATTTAATCTGTCACCAGTAACTTCCTTGGCCTGGCTTAAAGTGTATTTTGATCGTTGTCTCGTTCTTGGGGTTGTCAGTCTACTTTCAATTCTACCTCCCTACCCTCATTGGGGAACAGAATCGAATGAAACTTGGCAGGTACCGTCCCTTTGTAAGGAATACCAGTCCCTTTTGATGCTTGTTTTTCTTTACTCACAGGTCGTTTAGTGCTTGATTGCAGCTAACTATGTTCATGTTTGGATCTTTGTGACTTAATCATAATCCCTTAACCAAGTGTCAATGTATGGTATGTCTTGGCATATACGTCAAATCGCTTGTACCATGTGCCATAGAACTGAAGTGCTCTAACTTTGGTCTGCCTACCCTCGGAGGCCCTAGCACGCCCTTGGCTTATTGTTGAACTTAGTCATGACCTTACACCAAGATTTATTCTGTCCTAAATTCTCTGCCATTGAAATTGGTATCTCCACTCATTATTGAACGTAAGCCAGGAATCTTAATCGGCTCATTATTGTCGGCCTCCAATACCCGTTATCTTTCCGTCATTTTGGGAATGACGATGGGCAGTTCACTGCATACCTGACAAACAGGCGATATTGTATCCATCTGTGTCTCAACATTTGAATCATTTTCTGAAATAAATTCGCCACGTGCTTCAATAGGTTTGCCCATCTTGGCTCAATTTTCGAGGTTGGTGATCGAAATCGGACATGCCCACAACACTGCGTCCACAGTGGGCTGAGAGTGACCCCTTTTGTCATGCCTGCTACGCTGCTTCCCTAGTGAGCAGTGGTCGACCAGAGCGTCTAAATGAAATTTAGTTGATATTTGATGAATGCCATCGTATTAGATCTCAGGAGGACTCGATCACTCGTAATCCCCAAATCTCCAATGGGATTTCCCATTATTTTGACCCAGGGGAACCTGTTAATTACCAAGATGAAAAAAATGTGTCGAAAATGAGATCAGCTGCCTCCAAAACATATATTTTGACATCAAATGTGGTAATTTTGTAAAATTCGAATTTTCCCACCAAAACTGGCAGCCATCTGGAATTATTTCGGGCTGGGACTTTTTTTTGGTGATAATATACATCTAGACCGACCATAAAACGTGGTCGGCATTTCTATTGCAGCAACTGTCCGAAATGGTGCAAAATTGAGTTAAAATGCCTGGACTATCAGTTAAGAGTTAACATTTACCCTGTCACCGGAAATGACATCATTTGGGCAAAAACTGTATTTTTAGCCTTCAAAACAGATATTTTATTCAAGTAGGTCTGATTTGTAATGTTTTTAAAATTAGGATATTTGATTCCAATTCCAATGAACCCATACGATCATACAGATACCAAATAATGGTCTCTAACTTGCACGATTGCAGAGAAATAGACGATTTTCTACAAATTATTATTTGATTTTCATACAATTTTCACCATCTTATGCCTTATGCCATTTAGAATTTCATAGATCTAATTTAACATTTTCATTATCACGGAAAGTAGTGTCATTTTGGCAAAATCTATATTTTTAGCCTTCAAAACAAACATTTTTTTTTGAAGTGAGTTACATTTATTATTCGTTAATCATTATATTTTACTCCAATGGACATAAAGATTGAATCAATACGATCATATAGATGTCCAAAAATTGCTTCTAGCATCTTCCCTAGTCGAGAAATAACCAATTTTGTCAGGATCACCTTTTCAGATTTTTTTTCGCATTTTAATTTCCCATTAGAAAGTCAGCTAACTTAGTGGTAAGTCAGTAACAAATTTTGTCAGGATCACTTTTTTGACATATGTAACACATGGTAACAGATGTATAAATGGAATTGATATTGCTGGGTTTGATTGATTCTTCGTCCATTTTATAACACGTCTGTAATGTTTATGTGGAAATCTGTTTAATGGGTTCCATTGGTATCATAACTGATATAAGTTCATGGGTAACGTGGCACTGAAAGTGACATAAGTTCAGGGGTAACGTGGCACCAGTGAAACCCGTCATCACTGCTGTGATACAATACATAACTCTTATTTATTAAAACAAGCCAACGGTGAGGCTGATGTCCACAACCGAAATCCCCAAATAAATAGATGACACATATTAATTAATCGCACATCTATTTTTTTCAAAAGTATCGAGCAATCAAACTGATTATCAACTATACATTAAGTTTCATCACTCTCTATCAGATAGAATCAAAGTTATCTTGTCCAAAAGCATCGATATGTTAATCATTGAACTAAGTCAAGACGAACATCTACATCAAGTTTAAACATTCTGTCTCAATTAGAAGCAGAGTTATGTTCCAAAGTCTTGACCAATCAAAATGCTTACTGCTACTTAGCCTAAGC